CTGACCCGAGTTAGCTTTCCCAGCCCCAGGCCCAAGCAGGAGGACTGGCTCGGCCTTGAGTCCCACCAATTCTTTCTTCCTGTGTCAATGCTCAGTTATGTTTCCTCTTCATTTTGCCCAGGCTTCCTGAAAACTGGGTTTTCAAAATATAAAATATAAGCTATAGGGGACCACTGCAAGGCAACCTGGGAGGGAGTTTAGGATTGTTCTGAGGCCATAAAAACCAATGAAACTCACACATGAAAGGGTGGAGAAAGGGAACCCACGTGTTGTGACTCCCTCCATATGCTGGGTACAACTCAGTCTGTTACGTTGCATCACCTTTGCTGTCAGACAGAATGGAATTTGCATCCGGTTTCCATCACTCATTATGATGTGGTGGGGAATGTGTTTTTAACTTGGTTGAGCCTCAATCTGCTCATCAATAAAAGATGGGAGTGTTATGTGACTTCCATAACGTATGTGTGTAAAAATCTGGACATAATGCCTGGTATTTAAAAAACAAAGTTGTTATGTGGCCTCCATAAGGTAAGTGTGTAAAAATCTGGCTATAATGACTGTCATTTAAAATGTGGATTTGTTATGAGGCTTCCATAAGGTAAGTGTTTAAAAATCTGGCCATAATGACTGTAATTTAAACTGTGAAGTTGTTACGTGGCTTCCATAAGGTAAGTGTGTAAAAACATGGGCATAATGACTGTAATTTAATATGTGAAGTTGTTACGTGGCATCCATAAGGTGTTTAAAAACCTGGGCATAATGACTGTAATTTAAAAGATGAAGCTGTCACGTGGCCTCCATAAGGTAAGTGTGCAAAAATCTGGCCATAATGCATATAATTTAAAATATGAAGTTGTTACTTGGCTTTCATAAGGTAAGTGTGTAAAAATATGGGCATAATGCCTATAATTTAAAAGATGAGGTTATTATGTATCCTTCATAAGGCAAGTATGTAAAAATCTAAGCATATTGTCTGTAATTTAAAACATTGGGTTGTTATGTGGCTTCCATAAGGTGTGTAAAAATCAGGCCATAATGACTGTAATTTAAATTGTGGATTTGTTATGTGGCTTCCATAAGGTAAGTGTTTAAAAATCTGGCCATAATGACTGTAATTTAAACTGTAAAGTTGTTATGTGGCTTCCATAAGGTAAGTGTGTAAAAACATGGGCATCACGACTGTAATTTAATATGTGAAGTTGTTACGTGGTGTCCATAAGATAAGTGTCTAAAAACCTGGGCATAATGACTGTAATTTAAAAGATGAAGTTGTCACGTAGCCTCCATAAGGTAAGTGTGTAAAAATCTGGCCATAATGAATATAATTTAAAATATGAAGTTGTTACTTGGCTTTCATAAGGTAAGTGTGTAAAAATCTGGGCATAATGCCTGTAATTTAAAAGATGAGGGTATTATGTATCCTCCATAAGGTAAGTGTGTAAAAATCTGGGCATACTGTATGTAATTTAAAACATGGGGTTGTTATGTGGCTTTCATAAGGTAAGTGTGTCAAAATCTGGACACGATGCCTATAAATTGGTAAGTGTTCAATATATAAAGGAGGATTCTTTTTCTGTCATCTAATTTTTAGAGAAAGCTTATAAAATTGGTATTATATTTTGTAGATAATCAAATCAAGAGTCAGAGAGAATAAATAAGTCACCTTAGTCACGAGGCAGTTCACAATACATACTGGTTAATTGTTATTTATTAGTAGCAATGAGGATCACATTTAAAATCTTGTATTAACAGGGTGGTTTTCTCTTCTATAAGCCCCTTTCTCTTCTATAAGCTGAAACCATAAATTTTAAGAAGCTATATGAAAGTGAGTTTTACAAAATTGATGAGCTTAGTGTAGAAATTTTCTCTATTTATCTTGTTAATTACATTGAATATGTGTGTTGTTTTCAAAAAAGGTAAATTGAATATATATGTATTGAATATATAAAACATTTTACATTGTAGGGTAGCCTTAAGTCATGGCAGTGTGTTTTTCTGAAAGCACATGCAGAACTCTGTCATTTTTCCAGTTTCTAGAGAGCTCAGAGATAATGGGGGAAAGGAGGTTCTATGAATCCCAGCTAGTGCATGAGGCAGATTTTGTTTCAGTAATTTTAGCATCATTCATTGTAAGGTGATGATCCCTAGGAACGTCAGCACAGTGAGAAATCTGAAAGCTCCCAGCAGCCAGCAATGAGTGAAAGGTGGGGCGGGACCGCAGGCAGGGCAGGGCATAGTGAGGCTTGTACCTACTCCTTGAAGTTCTGACTCTGAAGGGAAGTATGGAGGTGCCCTGGGCAAGATTGCTTCCTCTTAACCAGGAAACAGTCTGGTTGGCAGGTCAACCGGCCTTCGCCTGGAGGCCTTCAGTGGCTGCCCTCATTGGCTGCCTTGGTTTTGTGCCCTCAGTTGGTCATCTTCAGTTGGGGGACTACATTGGGGGATCTTCAGTTCACGGGTAGTGGTGGAGGATGAGGAGCTCCTCTGTGCTCTTTCCTTCTGCAGTCATAGCTGTCAGGTTTGGTGCATTCAGGCCCATTCTAAATCAACCAGGCAGGTTCTGACTGCTGCAGAGAAGTCAGCTCAGGATGGCCAGGTGAGGGGGGAGTGCAGGCTGCAAGGAGGGTACAGCCCCATGGTCCAGGGCTGTCCATGCCAGCCGTGCCTTGCCAGGAAGAGTCAGTAGGTGTGGAGCTCTGCAGACATATGGGCAGGCAGAGGCCCAGGTGCCCAAGAAAATCAGAGTTGCCCCATGGGGACCACACTGAGCTGTCACATGTGCACCAAAGTCAAGCCCAGGCAGAGCCCCCACAGGAGTTCTGTGGAGCCATCCTGGGGCTCCTAGTTATGAGTTCACAGTCAGCAAAGGCACAGACCCCTGCAGAAAGGAGCAGAAGTGCCTGGAACACGCTGTACCCCAATGCCAGCCCCAAGCGGGACCAGCTCAGGGTGACGTGAAAGGAGCAGCCCTGTAGCTCTGAGATCTACGAGGTGGAAGTGACAGTAGCGCCAGACCCCACTGCTTTGGAGCCTGCCCAGTCGGATTTGGGAGCCAGCAAGGGTCGTGACTTGCGGCACATTGTCGACCAGAAGACAACCAAAGGTAGGGAGGCTATGGATACACCTAGGCCTCAGGACCTCCTCTGGCCCTAGTGACTTAAAGTTCCCCCCAAAGGCATCCACAGCCTGGGGCTCCTCCCTCTGCCCTAGTTAACTTTCCTAGGCCCAGGTCCCAAGCAGGAGGACTGACTCTGCCTCGAGTCCCTACCCCTTCTCTTTCCCTGCTGTGTCCAGATGGTTTCTTTCCTCCTTCCTATCCCAATGCCCAGTTCTGGGTCCTCTTGTTCTTCCCACAGGCTGGCTGAAAGCTAAGTTTCAGAATATGAAATGTATGCTACAGATTTCATTGCTGTAGAGGAAATGTCTGACTGCTTCTCTGTTTGAACTTTGTTCTCTTCATTTCTTTTAACATTAAAATAATTAAGCCTCATGATAGATGTGCCTTTGTAACCTGAAAATACTGTACTTAATTTTCACAGTTTTCAAAAAAATTTTTTAATGTTTCTTTTGATATATTTTTGGCAAACAAACAGGTAGTATCTAGTTACTTGACTAACTTCTTACTGTTGATTTGTGAGGTTTTAGTGCATCTCACCCAAGCAGTACACACAGAATCCAATTTGTAGTCTCTGATCTTTCTCTCACTTCCCATAGTTTCCCCCTGAGTTTCCAAAGGCCATTATATCATTCTTTTATTTTTTATTTTTCCCAAGACTGAGTCTCACTCTGTCACCCAGGCTGGGGTGCTGTGTCATGATCTCAGCTCACTACAACCCTTGCTTTCCATGTTCATGCAATTCTCCTGCTTCAGCCTTCCGAGCTGCTGGGATTATAGTTGTAGGTCTTTTATTTCTTGTATTTTTAGCAGTGATGGGGTTTCACCAAATTAGCCACTCTGTTCTCCAACTCCTGACCTCAAGTGATCCCCCCACCTCAGCCTGCCCTAGGGCTGAGATTACAGGAATGACCACCAGAGCCCAGCCAAACTTTCCTTTTTTTTCTTTATTGTCTAATCTCCTGAACTCATTCTTTGAGTTGTCACGTAGATTAACAAGTTTCTCAAATTACTGAAAAACTAGTTTAAGAAATAAACAGGCAGAACAGTGGTGCTGAGCATGGCTAAAGCATCGCTCCGTTCACAGGGAGAGGAGCTGAAGACCTTCTGGCCTGGGCTGGGCAGCAGTTCAGTTGCTACAGAAACAGACCGAGTGCGGAGAGGTGGCCGTCCTGTGCGGGATGCTTTCCAAGGAGCCCCAGAAATCAACATAGAGCTTCTTCTATCTGATTCTCTCGCAGCTGTAAACCTTCCATGAGTCAAGCTTTGTTTCAAATGGACAAATTAAAAGGCAAGAGAAAAAATCGCAATACCAGGACTTTGGCGGGGAACACATCTAATAACAGATTATTTCAGAAAACCCCACCTTGTGCCCAAATCTCTGTTTATTGTCTCTGTCCGACGTACTCATTTTTGAGGACAATGTTCAAAAGTTGTTCCTGTACTCAGTGTGGTGTGAAACTAGAAAACTACATTTCAGGGAAAACAATATAATTATTTTGAAGGTAAATAGGTTTTCAAGGTTTATTCTTCAATTATGAAAAGGTTTTTTAAAGTAAAACTTACTATTCCTCTCCACGAACCCAATTAATCCAGACCCTCCTCAGTGGGGTTTATAAAATACCATATTCACTTTCCTGAACCTTTTGATGAATCTCATATAAAGTTTTGTCACAGAATTTCAGATTTTTCATAAGGTCTTGTGTACCATGCCGTGCCTGTGACTTGCTTTCTTTACTTTGTTTTTATTTTATTTTTTTTAAAGAAGTAGCCAGCAAGTGTCTTTCTTTGCTTTAGATATGTAAACTCGTTTGTATTTTCTGATTAACTTGCAAGAAAGTTGAAAATGTTTTGCTCACTCTTCTCTTCTCAATTCCTCCCTCTCAGGACCTATAAAGGCACCCGCCCCACCCAAGCCCCATGGACAGATGCCCCAGGCTGCACATTCTGTCAGTGCTGTTCTCCAAGAGGCCCAGACACGTGCTGAAACATGAAAGGTGAGGCCAGCAAGCGGCTGACACACATTCCACCCAGCTGCCCCCATAAGCCCATGTCCTAAACCATTTGCATTGTTCCCGTAACTGTTCTTTTAAAAACAGAAAATAGGCTGGGTGTGGTGGCTCATACCTGTAATCCCAGCAGTTTGGGAGGCCGAAGCAGGAGAATTGCTTGAGCTCCAGAGTTCCAGACCAGCCTGGGTGACATAGTGAGAGCTCATATCTACTAGAAATAGAAAAATTAGCCCAGCCTGGTGGGGTACAACTGTGCTCCTAGGTACTTGAAAGCCTGAGATGTTTGAATTGCTTGTGCCCACGATTTCAAGGCTTCAGTGAACTGTGATCGTGCCACTGCACTCCAGCCTGATAGATAAAGGCCCTGTCTTAAAAATAGAAAAAATGGGTTACACTGAAAATGTGCATTTTCTGTTTTCCCCATTAATGTCCTACATTCATCCCCAGGGTGATGGAGGAAAAATACCTTTTAAAATAGGTAAATTGAAATGATATCCTCCATAACATTTTTCAACCCAATAGATTAATGAGGATTCATTTAAATCTACTTGAAATCATACCTAATAATTATGGTGTAGTTACTGATCTAGTTCATAATCTCGCAGTTGACTGTAAATTCTGTTGAAGATTCTTGGGTCTGATTAAAACCTTAAATAGCTGTGACAACAGCACATCACCCAGCGAGGACAGGCGGGTGCTTCACTTCAGCAATTTTTCACTTCTTTCACGCTTTCATTTTTCCATCAGCCAGTGGTGAAAACAGTTATATTTTGACATTTATTGAACTTTTTATAGGAAACCACTGCAGGCCTTGAAAAGGTGTATTTCTTTCATGTTCTCATTATCTTCTCGATGCTGACAATCTCTTCATGCAATGCGCTTTCAGCGATTATTATTTTCATTATTTCTTTAATGCCAATTGAAGGAAAGCATATAAAAATAATGAAAGAAATAAAAGAATCCCAGAATAGAAATCACTTCACTATATGTGAACACCAACACCCAAGCCGCCTGTTCAGAACTTTTTTTAAAGAACATCACCAGTTAATTAGCTTATCACGCTAAGTAAATAAACTAAAGCAAATAAAAACGAAATCAGAAGGAACTTTATTAGAAAAAAAATTCCAAATTTAATCTTCAGAAGTAAGAGGCTATTAGGCAGAGGAAGAAATAAACTGGAACCCTGATGAAATGTAAATTGGAATGATAATTATTAAAACAGAGGGATTCACTCCAGCTGCCTGGGGATGTTTCATTACATAAATATAAATTATTGCCTATTCCAGTATTGGCAGGGCAAGGGCTATGCCTCTATTAGACTTTAGCCAAATTTGGTGTTCTGGTTTCTACCAATAGCACACACTGGTGATTTTTCTTTTCAGAACTCACATATGTATCTCATTTGATCTCATCACAACCTGGAACACAGGTTATAAATAGAGGCCACAGAGCTCATTTTATACCCGGTGAACGAGCCAACTTCCATGCAGTTGAGAAAAAGTAAGCTGTCCTGGTGAGGTAGCTCACACCTGAAATTCTACCCCTTTGGGAGGCTGAGGTGGGCAGATCACTTGAGCCCAGGAGTTGGAGACCAGCCTGAGCAACAGGCCAAAAAACCATCTCTATGAAAAATACAAAAATTAGCTGGGTGTGGTGTCATGAACTTGTCATCCCAGCTACTCAGGAGGCTGAGGCATGAGGATCACTGAGCCCCAGGCTCATAGGTTGAAGTGAGTTGAGCTCACACCTAGGTGGCACAGCAAGATCCTGTCTAAAAAAAAAAAGGTGGGGGGGGGGGCCGGGCGGGGTGGTTCACACCTATAATCTCAGCACTTGGAAGGCCGAGGCAGATCACTTGAGGTCAGAAGTTCAAGACTAGCCTGGTCAACACGGTAAACCCCTGTCTCTACTAAAAATAACAAAATTAGCCTGGCGTGGTGGCGCGGGCCTGTCATCCCAGCTACTTGGGAGGCTGAGGCAGGAGAATCGCTTGAACAGGGGAGGCAGAGGTTGCAGCGAGCCAAGATGACGGCATCACTGCACTCCAGCCTGAGCAATAGAGCAAGGCTCCACTCAAAATAACAGCAATAATAATAGTATAAAAGTCACTTAGAGTCATTTCCCTATTCCAGAGCAAAGATGAGCTTTGAACAAACCAAATAATCAAAGTCAACATAGGTGAGTAATAGAAGCAAGTTACAGCAGATGACTTCAGATGCTGCATTGGAAAGAACCTGTGTGACAGCCCTGCCTGAATGGCATAACCTGAAGCTAACCATGAGGAAATATCATACAAACAAAAATGGAGAGAAACCCTACAAAACAGCTGACCTATACTCTCCAAAAACATAAATGTCACGACAATCAAGGAACCGTCACAGAATAAAGGAGACTAGAGAAACGCGACAATTGGACCAACACGTCATACATAATGAAAATCCCCCATCTTGAATTTGCCTTGGCTACCAAGGATATTTTGCAGACAACTGGCAAAATCTGCATAAGGTCTATAGATTAGATATTAATATTGAGACAATGTTAATATCCTGATTTTGAATATTATACTATAGTTATGTAAGCTAATTCCTTGCATTTAGGAAATACACATTATTTAGAAATAAAGAGGCATCATGTCTGCAACCTACAAACAGTTCAGAAAAAAATTCTGTATTATGTAACTGTATTCATATTTATCTAGAAAGAGAGGAGAAGGGGGAGAAAGGATAAAGTAAATGTAGTAAAATGTTAATATTTGGAAAATAATATCCAAAAATTCTTTGTACTTCCTATTTTTCTATAAGTCTGAAATTGTCAAAATAGAACTTTTTTTCATAATGATATGAACTATAACCCATTGAATAAAATAAATCATGAATCCAAATTGATACAAGTGAATGAATAAATTGAGGGTTTGATGAGGAACAGAGATGTACATAGTCTCAAATTACCTCCCCATAAAATACTAATTATCCACAATGTGAAAAAATAACATTAGAGGGGAGAAATTCAGCAGATACCACTGTTAGTAATCAATGCTAACATCGCCAGTAACAGGGTAAATCAAAACTATATGGTCACAGGTAACATGCAATGAGATCACTGGGTCACTTCTGTGATACTCCTGCCAAAAAAATCATACAACCTAAATCTAATCACCATGAAACCCAACTGAGGGACATTCTACATTACTGGACTTTACTGTTCAAAATACTCAAGGTCACGAATGTCAACAAAAGACTGAGGAACTGTTCCAGACTGAAAGAATCTAAGAGACACAACAACTAAATACAAGCCGTGGACTGGAATCGGATCCTTTTGCTATAAAGGACATTACAGAGAAGTAACAAAACTAGAATGTATTAATGTTGACTTTCTGAATGCAAGATTTGCACTGTAGTTATATAGACTTAGACTGTCCTGACTTGCAAGAATACCCACTAAAGTAATCAGGGGTGATGGCATAATGTCAGCAATTTACTCTCAAATAGTTCTGGGAGGAAAGTCTTTGTACTAAAACTTGGAAACTATCTCAAAATTGAAGGCTATTTCCAAAAGGTTAATCAAAAATAAATAAACAGAAATGGTGAATTGGGCAAATTTCATTCTCCCTGAGAAAAGATCTACATAAATCAGTGTTTAAAATTAAAATTATGTAAATTTGATGGCACCGTAACAATTGTAATACATCCACACATGAACAATGACCACAGTTCTTACACAACAAAATGACGTCTAATTCCAATTCTACCGCTCCACAGAGTGATAAAAATTATAAAGTACAAAGAAGTCATCAATTAACTGCACACTATAAAGTATTAATGACAACTTCGTGATTTGGCTCTTTAAACAGCTGACATTTGGGCAGTTTGTGTATGTAAAACTCAATATTCCTGGTTTTCACTGGCAAAATCCACTTAAAGGTTAAAGAAGCCAAGTAACATTGTTTAAAATACTACATAAATTTTGATCAGACACATACAATATAAAAATATTTCCCTTTAATAAAGATTTTCATGTCATATATTAATATCTAATGAGAAACAATTAAAATATCACATAAACAGCCCAGTAACAAAATTTTATCCTTCAGATCATATAATTTTTCTTTAAAACCTGTACATACTCTCTTGATGCTTTCCAAACTAGATCTTGATTTATATTTGACTCATCAGTAGATCCTAGAGGAGAAGGCACTGATCCAGATTCCAATTCAGCAGCAGCTAGAATGAAAAAGAAGGAATTATACTCATTACCTAAAAGACTGCACAGTTAACTAAGTGGAAGTCAGTATTAATAAAGAATTTTGTCAGTATTAATAAAGAAAAATCTGTATATATAACTAATATATAAGATTACTATTAATTTGTCTATGGTTGCACATTGAATTAATTATCCTTGTGGTTAACTATCAGAGCTTCTGGCTTTCTCACTCTTCATTCATTTATTCAACAACCATGTGCAAAGTAAGAACTGGAATTACAAGATGAAGATAATAGGGTCCACCTCTAACAAACATATGCTATAATCTGAAGAAACAAACATACAATTTCCATACAGAGTCACAGACACCACGACAGGCATAAGACAGGGCACTAACACACAGATGGGACACCTATCCCAGCTGAGTCAATACTGTGGGCTTTTTGATGGAGGTAATATGTAGACTGATACCTGAAGGACAAGGAAAACATGGGCCAGATAGAAGGAAGAAGCAAATGCCCAGAGCTGGAGCTAAGGAAGATGGCTGTGGAATTCCATGTGGTCTAGGGTGGCTGGACACCAGAGCAAAGAGGGCCGGAGAATAGCAAGGGGTGAGAAACAAGGTTGAATAAGGTGACAGGGACCACATTGATGTGAGTGTTTTTATTCCATGCTAAGGAATTTGGAACTTCTCCTGAGGGCAAATGGAAACCAATGACAAAGTAAATGGCTGGAGATTTAAAATGTTGCCTGTCAAGTGACTGCTTATGAACTATAATTTCAGACTAAGTATTACTTGATGAGTCTGGGGTCTTTAGGCCTTAAATCACTACCATAACCCTGAGAAGTTGATGATGCCTCTGTTTTCTGAGAATAATTTCCACATGCTGGTTGACAGTTCTGTGGGGATGGCAGAACAAAGTGCAGAGCCAAAAAAAAAAAAAAGAGATGCAAAGACTTCCTGAGATGTTTGTAAAGCTATGGAACATGATGAATTAATGAGACATTATATAATAAGTATACTCTTTACTATAAATGTTTATGTTTTCACTTCTTTCATTAGATGTGTGTAAGAAAGAATATTTAATGTAGTATCTATTAGCCAAACAATGGAAAGGGATGCCACTCACCCTTTCCATTTACAGTTTATTTCAGAAATCAATTAATCTAAATTTAATTCATTAATTTTGGCAACATACCTTCTTTAAGTTCTCTAGTTATATTTTTTTCCAGCTCCTGTTGCATCTGAAATAAATCAAATGTTATTTATAATGTTTAAGTTAGACAAGAGACATTACCATGGAAATGATATATCACTTACAAAATATGGCCTGTAATACTCTTAAAGACTATAATTGATTGCTTAAATATCAAAATAATCACTTAAAATTCCTACTTGTTTTAAGTTTGGATTTTTAAATGTGTAATGTTGTTGGGTAAGAAGTACAATTAAAATTGTCTATTGCATATACATCATTTCAGAAAGGTGATGTTTTCTCTTAGTAGTACAAAGGTAAAACAACTGAAGTCATAGTTTGCAATGAATGCATTCTTAGCAAATGAATGTAATTCTTACCAAAACTCTGACCTTATAAAGCCTAATCAGTTTTTTCCCTTTAATGGATTTTTCCTTAAAATAAACTTTCCAGCCAGGCACAGTGGCTCACGCCTATAATCATAGCACTTTGGGAGACCAAGGCAGGCAGACTGAGGTCAGGAGTTCGATATCAAGCTGGGTAACACAGTGAAACCTCCATCTCTACTAAAATACAAAAAAAATTAGCCAGGTGCGACGGCATGCACCTGTAATCCCAGCTACTCAGGAGGCTGAGGCAGGAGAATTGCTTGAACCCAGGAGGGGGAGGTTGCAGTGAGCTGAGATTGCACCACTGCACTCCAGCCTGAGCAACAGAGCGAGACTCCATCTCCAAAATAACAAACAAAAAATTTTTCCATTCTCTACTTTTAGAAAATTAAAATTTTAAAGTATGTTCTATGCTGATTTTTGGTACAGAATCATCAATATATACAGGAAGAAAGTGATACTGTTATATGTCATGTGAAAATTCTACTGATAAAAAAAGTGTAAAATAAATATTATGCTACCTATATATAACTTTCTTTATTCATGTAAACACAAAGATTTCAGAAGATATGCTGTAAAATGATAAATGTAAGTTAGAGCTAGTTTTCAAGCTTAGTTTCTTTGACTCACAACTTTGAATTATAAACAATAATACATAGTTCTTTAATTGTAATTTTGATTTCAGATATTAGTACCAATTTTTTAAACATGACTAATTATATTTATACACTTAATTACAAAATGTGTGGGAATATTTCTGAATATATTGCAAGTGTCCCATTTAGAGCGTTCTTATTTAAATCTTTTTTATAATAGGTATTCTCTCACTAAATACCCAGAACATGGTAGGAAATAGCAGACTATATAGCGAGCACAATAGGTACTTTGTGGTGATAATAATATGATATTGATACAATAATGATATCTAATATGATATCTATATGATAACAATATGATATCTAATGCCTTTAAAAATGTTAGGCATGAAGATAAACACTTTTGACTAACAGGTTTCCCAATATTTTGTAAGACTGTTTTCCATATATTTCTGTGACAATAACATTATAGACAGGCCTTATAAAATGAATAATGTGACAACAGTATTAGTAGGTCCTATAAAAGTAATAACTCAATACCAAATAAAGGGAGAAGCCTTTTTTGAACTAATCTTATATTGCTATTCATTAATAAACACAACATAAAATATACATTTTTATATGACTTGTATTAAAGAACTACTAATGTAATGTAGTTCTTTTCCTAAATATTTACTTCCTATGTGTAGAAATTTTATTATTTCTTTATACCCTATTTACAAATACTTTCATAACATGTACATTTTGCTTAGATAAAAATGACATACTCTTAACAAATTGCTTACCTTATGCTGAAGAAAACTCTCTAGAAAGAGAATGCTTCTTGCATAACAAATCTAAGTAGAGGTTATTTTTCCCCCTAACACTTAAAGGGTACCTGGAAGAAGCTGCTGCCTCTATTCCAGCCCTGGAGTGGCCTCCCACTACATAAATTCTCTTCCAGCCTTCATTAACACTTGAAATATATATATATATCTTTTTTTTTTTTTTTTTTTTTAGATGGAGTCTCACTTTGTTGCCCAGATTGGAGTGCAGTGGTGCAATCTCGGCTCACTGCAACCTCCACCTCCTGGGTTCAAGCAATTCTCCTGCCTCAGCCTCCCGAGTAGCTGGGACTAGGGCATGTGCCACCACACCTGGCTAAATTTTGTATTTTTTAGGAGAGACAGGGTTCCACCATATTGGACAGGCTGGTCTTGAACTCCTAACCTCATGATCCACCTGCCTCAGCCTCCAAAGTGCTGGGATTACAGGTGTGAGCTACTGTGCCTGGCCAACCCTTGAATATTTTACCACATAAATGACAGCTGAGGGCAACTACCTTTGATAAAAGGACACCAGGCCAGACATGAAGGCTCAAAGGGAAAGGTGGAAGACCCAAAACCCAGGAGGGAGTTGCTCTAGGAGGGACACCCGAAAGCTTAGGAAAAGGGTCTTCTGTGCTGACAACTCTGGTTTTGTCCTGGCTGGTGGGAAGCTGGGATGGTTTTACCTATATTCAAAGTGAAAACTGGCAAATATTAAATAACTTTGAAAATGTCTCTTTATTCCTACTTTCCCATTAAATCACACATTTTCCTCCTATTTCCCTTAATACAAATTTAGAATTATTGTCTCCAGTTAAATAACTTAACACAGTGACTGATGCAGACTACGGAAGGGAAGAGGAGAGAAAAATGTCTTGGCGACATTAATAATTGTCCTGTTGAGGTAGACATGGTCCCATCCATGGTTTTTGAAATGTATAAAGCAATAGCTAAGGAGAAACTGAACACTGCTAGAGGAAATAAAAAAGCTTAGTAAATTACTAACCTCTTATGCTAAAAAATGAATGCATAATACAAAATCAAGAGCTACTAGAAGTAAAATAAATAAACTATGTTTTATAAAATGCTCCTCCTTTCTCTGTGGCCTTTCTGTTTATTTCCAGGTGGGAACTATGTTTCAGATGGTGGAGGTAGCTTGAAGTCCAACATTACCCTGTCTCAAAACAAAAAAAAAAAAAAAAAATAAAACAAAAAACAATTATATGAGAAATCTGAAACCCAAAGGGAAAAAGACAACATAACTAACCTTGGTCAAGTATTTCTCCGTGCTATTATTTGAAGTCCGTGGATTTGAGGTAGGGATCACTACGTTTTCTCTTGGAATAAGTTTTCTGTTCAAATCTAAACTATTATTAAGATTTCCAACACAAGGTGACACCAGGACTGGCCTGGTAGTGAGAGTGGTGAATAAAGATCTGGTCTGCTGTTTTTCCATAAGAAGTTTGGTGTTGACCTCTGCTAGCCTCTCATTAGTTCTGTGAAGATTGCAGAAGACACATGCTTAGTATTTAACTTTTCCCTAAATGATTCCTAAGAAATTTGCATATTTTAAAAAGTTATCATAAGAGTAAATGAAATTTCCCACTAAACAGTATTATAACACTGAAAATGTGTCAGAGCATGCCTACCATATGCAATTGCAATTTTTAGATTGTTCTAAAGAAGCACATATGTTTCTAGGGTAGTTCCCAACAAACAAGTAATTCAAGCAAAGTAAGGAAGGGAGGATATGGCTATCAGTGATGTATGGCTTCACAGGTAACACCTGCTGCCTTCTGGAACAGCTCCACTGCTAAGATTCCTGAGGATGCCATTAGAAATACTTGTCTTTAAAGGGCAAATATGTGAGATGATGAATATGTTAATTTGCTTCACTATAATAACCATTTCACTATGTACAAATATATCAAAAATATCATGTACTCCTTAAGTACATACAATTAACAAAACTAAGAACAAAGAAAAACCAGCTAAAAATACTTGTATTTAGTAAACCACTTTAGAGATTTAAAAAAAAAACTTCCTCAAGACATGTTGAAACATTTGCTTTCACCACCCTTTCCCTTTTACATTTATTTCATTCATTATCTGGAAAAATATTAGGCATCTGGCACCAAGAAATAATTCAGAGCAACAAATTCTAGGGGAAAAGGAGACAGCTGAGTTGGTGATCAAAAAGAACTAAAGAGCCTCAAAGGTAGTTAGCTTCTAACATTGTTCCCAAGGCATCAGGGCCAGGGCCTGCCCACACACTCCCTAAGGCTGACCAAGGTGTTATTTTTAACCACTTTATGAATTATACTTCCCTTCATCCCTATGTTAATCATTCCCTATCTCACTAGCATGCCTTCATGTCATAGAAAAACTATACAGGCTAGACTGTTTACAGTGCCCTCTAGTGATAACACCAGATATCAAGGAAAGTTAATTGATGGAGTGCTAGCATGTGCAGAGTAGTAATACTTGACCTTTCTGGTTTAAGTTGTAATTTTCAAAAAAAAACCAGCTCAACTCATTAATAATTCTATTTATGGTAATGCTTACAAACAATTTGATGACAATATCAATGTCTAACAAAGTTTCAAAAGCACAAAGCATGAAGACAGATCTAGTTAACTACATGAGAATATGAATGGAAAAGCCATATAACATTTAAAAAACAGGGGAAAGACATAAACTTTATGTTTTATATATATATATATATATATATATATATATATATTTTTTTTTTAAGACGGAGTTTCGCTCTTGTTACCCAGGCTGGAGTGCAATGGCGCTATCTCGGCTCACCGTAACCTCCGCCTCCTGGGTTCAGGCAATTCTCCTGCCTCAGCCTCCCGAATAACTGGGATTACAGGCACGAGCCACCATGCCCAGCTAAGTTTTTGTATCTTTAGTAGAGACGGGGTTTCACCATGTTGACCAGGATGGTCTCGATCTCTTGACCTCGTGATCCACCCGCCTCGGCCTCCCAAAGTGCTGGGATTACAGGCATGAGCCACCACGCCCGGCCTATCTTATATTTTAAAGGTAAGTTAGTTTACTAACATCACTTTCCAAAATTGTATTACCTAGTGAGCTTTCACTTACCATTAATCTCATGAACCTGTCTCACTAAGAATTATGCTTTCAAGGCAAATTGCTTAATTTATTTCCTATGATTCTGTATTTTGACTTACTTGTTTAGTTTATTTGACAAGGATTTTCTAACTTTTAATTCTTCCAGATAGAGTTGTTTGTATTTTTCCAGTTCGGTTTTATTAACGTCTTCTTGAAAAGTTTTCATTTTGGAGAGTTCAGATTCCAGATCTTTAATTCTGAGTTCCATTTGACTTTTCATTGAAGCAAAATTGTTCTCTCTTAACTGCTCTAAGTTTTCTTGAGATGCTGCTTGGGCCTAATAAAAATTAAAAGCATATGTTTTAAAGATATATAACCTGAGTAAGACCAAGGCCACCTCCTCGGTGTCTAAGGCCGCTTTGTTTTTAAGTCAAACTACAAAAACAGAAAGATCTGTGTCAATCCTCATTGGTCAAAGAGATAAGAGGACACTCCAGGGCTCTACTTGAAAAAGGAACCCAAATACACCTTCCAAAGAAATGAAAGTGAGTTTCTACTAGAGAAGCACTTTGATCCTTGAGGAAGTAATCAAAACAATAAAGGCTGACTGGCAACCCAGATGTCTAATGATGGGGGAAATGTTATGTAGAAAATAAAATGATAATTGGTAACAGGAAAACCTAAGAAAGAAAACGAGTACAAATTTGTATATATTTTCTAATGCAAATTGCATAAAAATTATTTTTGTGTTAAAATACAATGTTTGTGGGAAGACTTGAATATGCTTACAATTTCTGATGTGATATTCCATTTTATAAATAAACTTGGCAAAGTAAATTAAAGCATATCTGTATGGAACATGTAGGAACTTAGGGCTTAGTAACTACATGTGTGTTAAGTAGAATACTGCGTGTTCTAACTTAGGGATAAATGCAGTGCACATAAATATATATGTTGAGAAAAAAGGCCAAGGTCTTGGATCTCTTACAGTAGTTCTACCTGCTAGAGCACAAGGTTATGGAATCACCTGGAGTACAAGTAAAGGAATTTGGAGTGTGATCCTGAGCCTTCCTGACTAGCTCTATGGCTTAGGCCCTGCTGTTTCACCTTTCCCTAAGTCTTCTCTTCATCTGTAAAATGAGAAACTGTACTGGCTTATCACTAAGATTTCTCCCTATTCTCATTCCATGTCTCTAAGAGCTAACATGTAGGCTCATGCCTGTAATTTTAGCACTTTGGGAGACCTAAGCAAGAGGATCACTTGAAGCCAAGAATTCAAGACCAGCCTGAGCAACAAGCAAGACTCCGTTTCTACCAAAAATAAGAATTAAAAAATCCGCCAGGCATTATGACATGCATCTGCAGTCCCAGCTATCCGGGAGGCTGAGTAATACATTTGTACTCATGAACTCTGATAATATAAATAATAATAAAATTAATTAAAATTTTCAAAAAGTGAACAACATAATTTAGGAACAATGGAAGAGTATGGTATAATTTCTAAATCACAATTTTTTCTTTTCCTGATGGTTCTGTTTTATGCCAACTGGTCTTAATAGCCAAATAATTCTCTAATGAGAATCATTATCCTGAATGATTAATTAAGTTATAATGATGATGGGAACTGAACTATCTAAAGGGAGAAACAGATGCCGTTTTCCTTCTAAAAATCTATAGAACAAACTGCTATAAGGGATGTAGAAGAAACACATACAGGGTACATGTCCAAAATACAATTTGCAGTGAATGAATGAAGGCACACTACATATAAACTAACCTGTAAAAAGAGATTGACTTCCTTTAATTTTTCAACTATTTCCTGTCTTGCTCTCTCTTCAATCTCCTGCTTATACTGTTTGACTTGACCACGCTCTACCATATTCCTTTCTAGATGACTTCTGAGGTTTACCACTTCTTGTTCCAACTTCTCTTTATTCTTCTGTAGTTTTTCACATTTCTTTTGTATTGTTTTCATAGATAACAACTCCTGTTGAAGAACTTGATTCTTTGTATCCAGATGCAGACATTTTGAACCTGCAGTCTCCAGTTCTGCTGTAAGATCATCAATCTGAATGAAGACAAGAATAGTGTGATAATGAAGGAAGTAGCCTGAGAACAGCCTAACGTAAAACCAAGAACAAATTCTGAAATAAATTCAGTTGCCACAAAATGTCATTTGAACTATAAAATATTCTTCCAATGTGGAACTCAGAAAATAAAAAACAAAGTTAAAGCCACCAGGAGTTACAAAAATATATTCCTGATTTTCGACATCTTTGCTACACAACATTTGAACTTGATCTTCAACTTATATTCTTCTACGATTCTTTCATGTCTTTCCTCCTTACACGGCTCTAAGACGTAGTAGAAAGTCTCTTACTGCTTCCCCCATAAAAATGCCCTAAAATTTCCAAAAAAGTTCTGGGGACATCCTATTATCTAGGCATCGTAAAAAAATGGCTCCCAGAATAAGACTTTTAAAATAAGACTATAATTAATAAATCCTATAATACAGATTCTAATGCCATAGGCCTTTTTCTAAGCTGCAAATTTTTTATGCTAATTTGAGTTGCATTCTAAAAGGGGTAATAATTCTTGGGGTTAAGGCCACAGAATAAAGAACCTTGAAAAAAATTCACGTACTTAGGACAGCCAATTGATTTTAAATAAAGGTGCTAAGAACATACACTGGGGAACGGACATCTTCTTCAATAAATAGTGCTAGTAAATTGGATATCCATATGCAGAAGAATGAAACTAGACCCCTAACATCATATACTAAGGTCAACTCAAAATTGATTAAAGATATAAAAAACTAAGACCTTGAAACTATAAATCTACTAGAAGAGAGGGAAAATGCTTTAGGACATTGGTCTAGGCAAAGCTTTTATGGGTATTTTCAAACACAGGCAAGAAAACAAAAATAGACAAATGGGATAATATTAAACTGAAAAGCTGCACAGCAACAGAATTAACAGTGAAGAGACAATCTGTAGAATGGGAGAAACTATTTGCAAATTATTCATTGACAAGGGACTAATATCCAGAATATACAAGGAACTCAACCCAATAGCAAAAAGAATAAATAATCCAATTCAAAAGTAGGCAAAAACCTGAAACAGACATTTCTCATAAGAAGACATACCAATGGCCAAAAGTATATGGAAAAAATGTTCAGCATCACTAATCATCAGAGAAATGCAAATCAAAACCAGCAAGTGATAGTAGCCATTCTAACTAGAATAAGGTAGTATCAAAAGACAAAAATTAACAAATGCCAGCAAGGGTGCAGAGAACAGGGAACTCTTAGATATTGTTGGTATGGATGTAAAGTAGTACAGCCATTATTTTTAAAAATGTGAAGTTTTCAAAAAGCTAAAAATATTACTGCCATATGATATAGCTATTCCACTACGGGGTATTTATCCAGGAGAAAGGAAGTTAGCATATCAAAGGGATAGCTGCATTTCCATGTTTATTGCAGTACTATTCACAAAACCTAAGATATGGAATCAACCTAAATGTCCATCAATAGACAATGATAAAGAAAATGTGGTGTATAGAGATACATAAAGATGAAAACAGACACTGAGGACTCCGAAAGGAGGGAGGGAGAGAGGGGGCCAGGGCTGAAGAACTTCCTATTGGGTCTATGATCAGAATTTGGGTGATGAGATCAACAGAAGTCCAAACCTTGACATCATGCAGTATACCCTTGTAACAAACCTGCACATCTACCCTTTGAAAGTAAAATGAAAATGGGAATTGTTTAAAAAAAAAAATAACCGGAAGGAAGGGAGGTCGTAGTGGTCAGGTACAGTGGCTCACGTCTGTAATGCTGGCACTTTGGAAGCCAAGGTGGGCGGATGACCTGAGGTCAAAAGTTTGAGACCGGCCTGGACAAAATGGTGAAATCCCACCTCTACTAAAAATATAAAAATTAGCCAGGCATAGTGGCCCACACCTGTAGTCTCACCTACTCCGGTGGCTGAGGCAGGGGAATTGCTTGAACAGAGGAGGCAGAGGTTGCAATGAGCTGAGACTGTGCCACTGCACTCCAGCCTGGGTGACAAGAATAAAACTCTGTCTCAGAAAAAAAAAGATGTATTGTATACATAGGATGGAATACTATTCAGCCATTACAAAAAACGAATGAAATCATGTCAGTAACATTATGTTAAATAAAATAGGTCAGGCACAGGAAGACAAACATCTCAGGTCCTCACTCATGCAAGTGCTAAAAAGAAAACTGAGCTCATGGAAGTAGAGAATAGAATCATGGGTATTAGAGGCTGGGAAAAGCAGGAGGGAAAACAGGCGGGGAAAGGAGGAGGTGTTGGGTTGATGGCTACCAAATTAGAGCTAGCTAGGAGGAATGCGTTCTGGTGTTCTATAGCACCACAGGGTGAATAAAGTTAACTATAATTTATTGTGTACTTTCAAAAGCTAAAAAGAGAGGATTTTGAATGTTCACAAGACAAATGATAAATGCTTGAGATTATGGATATGCTAATTAGTTTACACACTGTATACATCTATTGAAATATCACTCTGTAGCCATAAATATGTATAATTTTGTGTCAACTAAAAATAAAAGGAAAAATATTCATCCCATGATAAAATAGAACGTGGGCCCACCTCAGTGACTCATTTTTCATGAATAGAATGTGGTACAGGTAGCAGCATGCGACTTCGGCATAGGTTATAAGAGGTTCCCTATCTCAGACTCATTGCCCTTGGAACCCAGCCCTGATCTTGTGAGGAAGCTCAGGACTTGGACACATTATTAGTACACAAAGCAGAAGATTCCAGTCCCCCAGGCTTTGAGCTGTGTCCAGGGGACCTGAGGGGAACAGAGACAAGCGGTCCTGGCTGAAGATTTTCCCAAAATACAGGTTCCTGGACAGAATAAACGTTGTTGTTTTAAGCCAGTAAATTTTGGGTACTTTGTTAGGAAGCAATAAGCAGAAAAAATGTATTTTACAAAAAGAGACAATAAGAAACACAATAACTAATATCAGAGGAATTCGTCTCATTCAAAGTAGAACCTAATAAATGTAGAGATTAATTTATTCACAGCTAACAATGACAAGCAGATAACCAGGAAAAAAGTGTAAGAGGTATTCAGAAAGTTTTTTCTAAAGTTCCCTCCAATTAGAAATTCTTATAACTAAACAAGTGTACCTCCAGAATTTTCCCTAAAGTTAAGGAATAAGAAGACTAAAAGGCAAGGAGACAAAAGTATAAGAGTTGAAAAACAACTAGAAATATTTGTTTTAATAACCAAAATCAGGAGTCTTGTCTGATTTCAATTAACTGAAATTCTAAAAAAAAAAAAAAAAAAAAAAAGATAAGCCGCTTTGAGTACTTTTTTAAATACAAAGAAAATTTTATTTGTATATAAAAGACTCTAAGAAATGATGACATAAGGTTAACAGAGTTGATGTCAAGAAACAAATAGGTTTGAAGTTACAGATAATAAACACTGTTGTTTCATTGAACCTTCCCTTGATTACATTAGACTGCATCCCTGGTATGCTCACAATGGAATCTTAAGCATGATGCATCCAGGCGATACAGCTGTAATTCCTTTCTGTTAGTCCTCGTTCTCTCTCTTTTTTTTTTCTTTTTCTTCTTTTTCTCTAGACTAGGAATTGTTTTGCTGGTACTTGTTCTTCCTCAGAAAGCGATTCTTCCTTAATGTTTTTCTTTTTACCCTTTTTCTTCTTCTTCTTCACAGATGTTTCTTCTACCACTTTTTCTTCTTCCACCTCTTCTTCAACTTTAATCTTGGCTTCCTTTGCTTTCTTTTCAGTAATATCATCCTCTCTATCTACCTGTTCTATTTGCATTTTTTAGAACGGGTTGGAAGTGTGGAGTCACCAGAAGGATCATAAGTCTTGACTTTTGTGTTCACATTTTTCTGTTTTTGCTAACACCTTTCCTGTTCCACTTATTTTTCTTATTCCTCTATCTTCCAAAGTTCTCAACCTGGCCTCTAATTTGGCTCCGTTCTCAACTCCCATCACAGAACTGGAATCCACCAAAGCATCATAACATATAGCCAAAACAGTTTTGGCTGCCAGCCTTCAAGAAGTCTTTCCTTTGTGCTTGGGACTTGTCTGGCCTACAAGTGAAGCATGATAAATGAGACCATACTTAGGGATATCCTATCTAGATTTGAGGGCTCTGAAATGTGCCTTTCCTGCTCCAAGAATCTGAACTATAGAAGTTGCATGCCTAGCCAAATTCAAAAGAGAACCATTAATGCTATGAACTTAACCACGAGACATAATTTTTAAAGTGCAACCAATACATACTGCCATCAGTTACTGCTACAAGTTTAGCTCTATCTATGAAAATAGGTGAAGAAAATGAAATCATCTGATCTTATAATTTCAGGCACTTGAATGAAGTCTTCGATTAATGATGCAGGTAAATTAGTTATACCAGACCAGGTGCCGTGGCTCATGCCTATAATCCCAGCACTTTGCAAGCCTGAGGTGGGCAGATCACCTGAGGTCAGGAGTTTGAGACCAGCCTGGCCAACATGGCAAAACCTCATCTCAACTAAAAATACAAAAATTAGCCAGGCATGGTGGCAGGTGCCTGTAACCCCGGCAACTTGGGAGGCTGAGGCAGGAGAATCACTTGAACCCAGGAGGCAGAGACTGCAGTGAGCTGAGATCGTGCCACAGCACTCCAGCCAGTGCAAAAGAGTAAAAATCCATTAAAAAAAAAGTTATGCCATTTTAAACATGCTGATAGCATTTTTAATTATAGCCCATCATCCTTGTAATATTGCCATACACGTATATGGCATTTTATTATAAATCAGTTGCTGAAAATATTTTTGAAAGTCAAATATATTACAACTGCACACTCAGTAGTGAAACTAAGATAATCAATCAAGGGTATATATCCTCTACAGTGATTTCTTAAAACTGCATTCAAATCTATGTCTAATGAGGTTATTATTATGAGAATGCTAACTGTTTTATCCTCTTATATTCATCTGATTATTCTAATTAACCCTAACAAACTCTTAACAATCTAGAGCTCAATCTTCATTTTCCTTTCCTCAGTGAGGAAGTACAGAGAACATTACAAAATCATTTCTAATCTCTTTAGTATAAAATTAATGTAGTGCCTTTGAATGTTAAGAAGTTAAATACAATTTCTCCTTTACCTTACTTTAAGCAAATCTGTATAAAGACTGTCTCATCTTTATGTTGGA